AAGCTATATACAACAAACCCACAGCCAACATCATTCTAAATGGAGAAAAGCTGGAAGCATTCCCATCAAAAGTAGGAACCAGACAAGGATGTCCACTATCTCCACTCCTTTTCAAAAAAGAGCTTGAAACTCTTGCTAGAGCAATAAGACAGGAGAAAAATTAAAGGAGTAATAATTGGAAAAGAAGAGGTTAAACTATCACTTTTTGGAGATGATATGCTACTATATCTAAGAGATCCCAAAAGTTCCACCAGGAAACTTCTAGAACATATCAACACTTTCAGGTAGGTAACAAACTTAACCTACAAAAGTCTGTAACCTTTCTATATACCAATAACAAGCAATCAGAGAAAGAGCACATGGAAACACTCCGCCTCACAATAGCTGCAAAAAAATAAAATATTCTGGAATAAACCTGACCAAAGACATTAAAGAGCTCTGCAATGAAAATTTTAAATCATTAAAGAAAAAGATTGAGGAAGACAGCAGGAGATGGAAGGATCGCCCATGCTCATGGATTGGAAGAATTAATACTGTTAAAATGACCATCCTACCAAAAGCAATATATAGATTCAATGCAATCCCAATCAAAATCTCCATGAGATACTTCACAGAATTAGAAAAAATAAAATCCTTAAATTCATATGGAAGCACAAAAGACTATGGATAGCAAAAGAAACCCTGAGCACAAAGAGCAGTGCTGGGGGAATTACTAAATCAGATCTCTAAGTATATTACAGAGCTATAGTCTTAAAAACAGCCTGGTATTGGCACAAAATAGACACATAGATCAATGGAACATTATTGAAGATCAAACCTGCATACACGCAATTTCAGCCACCTGATATTTGACAAAGGGACCAAGAAAATTCACTGGAGGAAAGACAGCATGTTCAGCAAATGGTGCTGACAAAACTGGATCTCCACCTGTAGAAGAATGAAACTAGATCTTTATCTTTCAGGGGACTATGGAACATCTCTCAAAATGTCCTGCAAATGTGGTGAGTCACCTGTCCTCTTGTTCAGGGAGGCCATGGAGACCCCAGGAATAGACTTGAACTAGTGTCCAGTTTACAAAGAGGGTCAACTCAGAGGAAACATCTCATTCATGCTTCCAAGTGAATCCAGACATGGTTGAGCAGGACCTTTGACTTATCTTCACATAGATGGAACTCAGGGGCTCCTCCCAAGTCCATGTGGCCCCTGAGGAACAGATCCTCAAATGATCTTAGGTGTAAAAATAAATTGATTTATTTGGGCCAACTGTATGGTCTTAAACACTCAAAAGGAAAGTATAACCAAAGAGTAAAGTCATCAGTATACTTCTTTAAGAGTTCAAGGGATTACAGGTCCCAGACATTAGGCTTAAGTCCATGTAAAAAGTTATTTAGACAATTATTTCTCATTGATGGCTTTGTTCCTAATTAGAAAGTGCTGCTCAGATGTAAGACTTCAAACCTTGGTTTGCAATACTGTAGTGCCCACTGGTAGCTAAGGGAGACAACCAGCTACTATTCTAAAATGATGGATAAATTTGTTTCTCCCCCTATCTAGAGGCCTTTGAGAAGGAACTGACACTGATCCCAACCACTCTGACAGCTACCAAAATACCAGAAAGCAAAGTGAATCCATCACTCTAGAGTCCAGACTTGGAACCCAATAGAGGGATGCTTTTGGAAGCCCTTGTCAAGAAATTCCAATGGACTCCCACGTGAACATTTGAAAATTGCCCTGTTCTGACTTTTTTCTGGTTCCCTGTCTAGAACGTGTAATGTTAATCACTCTTGCCTTTACTTCTCCTTCACATCTCCTACTCATGATTCAAAGACTTCTTTTCCCCCTAGAGATAAGAGTTATGCAATTTGGGAGTCTTTTAGATAGACCCACTGAAGGGGTACTCCAACTGCCTCACCCTGTGTCCCTGTTCAGCGTGGAAGAAGCCAGAGCGGTCTGTGTCCCTATTCCCTATTGGCAATTTGGGTAACCTCTTCAGAGGATGGTGTGATAAGAATAGGAGGTAGGAATTCTCTAGGCAGTTAGGCTAAAAAGACCCCAAAGAAAAGTGGCCAGTTTCTTGGCTAGAACAAACATTGTCCTTGGGCCTCTTAGCAACCAACTCCATTCCAAATGCCAAAAATGTCAAAAATATTTGGGGGCTTTTATCTAATCCTTAAAAGGTTTTAGGGTTACCTCAGCCAAAAGCCCCATAAAAAAATAAAGAAATCAAAGAAGAAGAAATAGTACATGGAGTTATCAGAAAAAAGTGATGGGGAGATATGGGAGGAGTTGGAGGGGAGGGAGTGGGCATGGATTTGATCAAAACACCTTATATGCATGTATGAAATTCTCAACAAATTATTTATTTTAAAAAAATTCTGAGCTGGGTGTGGTGGCACATACATTTAATCCCAGCACTCAGGAGGCAGAGGCATGTGTATGAATGTATTGCCTGCATGTGTGTAAGTGCACCCATGTCGTGCAACACCTGCGGAGGTCAGAAGAAGGTGTTGGATCCCCTGGAACTGGAGCTACGGATGGTTGTTAGCTGCCACGTGGGTGCTGGGAACCGAACCCAATCAAAAAAAAAAAAAAAAAAAAAAAAATCAAATCTGAATCTGGCTGGGTATGGTGGCACAAGCTTTTTAAATCCCAGAAGTTGGGAGGCAGAGGCAGGTGGATCTCTGTGAGTTCAAGCTTAGTCCGTTCCACATAATGAATTCCATGTCAGTCAGGGCTATGAAGTGATACCCTGTCTCAACAAAACGAAACAAAACAAAATTTTGTGAATCTGATTCAGGTTTGGAAGGGAAAGTTTTGACTACCACCACCAGTAATGGATATTGGTATTTCCATGGTTTAAAAATATCTATTTTCATCCAGTATTTTGTCACTCATATTTTTCTTAAACTATCTATTTCAACCAAGTTCAAAAATTTATTATTATAATCATTTCGTGAAAACTTATATTTTAAAAATCCCTAATAGTTATGACTTTCATGTCTGTAATTGCTTACTTATGCCCTTTCTCTTTTCTCTTGTTCAAAACTGCTAGAATTTTCAGTCCTTCCAAATAGCCCCTGTAGGTAGGTGTGATCTAAAATTCCAGTATTCAGGAGGTAGAGGCAGGAGGATCAGATGTTCAAGGCCGGCCTGGGCTGCGTGAGATCCTATGAACAAAAACAAAACAAAAAACCCCAAAAACCAAACAAAAAAGTTCAACTAAAAATAAGCAAATAAACAGAAAAATATTTTAAAACGCTTTGTTTTAATCATTTTACAGGCTTTCAATTTCATTAACCTAAGAATTTATCATCATGTCCTTTATTTTACTGTCTTTAGTCTTTAGTGTTACTTTGCATTTTTTGCCTAGCTAATAGAATTTCTTTTGTTTTGGTTGGTTGTTTATTTTTAATTACTTTTTTTTTGAGACATGCTCTTGCTGTTTAGCCATAGGTAGCCTGGAATTCATTATATGACCCAGTCTACCCTTGACCCGGTGGTAATCTTCTGCCTCTTTGAGTTATGGGATTACCATGCCTAGGTCACTTTCTATCTTCTTATTTTCTATGATAGATACTTAAAGTACGCTAATAGTCAAATGCTCTGTTGTATGTTTTCCGCACATTCTGACCCTTCGTTTTCAGCAATGAGGGAAAATCCTCTGATTCAGAAATATGTGTGTGTTTGAGTGTTAGCAAGGTGTGTAGGAGTGATTTTTATAGAATGGAAAGAACCCGGACTAATGTCTTTTAATTAACCTTGGCAAACTGATTGAATCATCTGTTGTTGTGACCTGGGCACTTGATCTTGTTTCCATGGAAGCTCAGTTTGCTACTCCACCCAAAAAGATAATGAATGACTGTGGGTATGCTTTAGAGAGAATGAACCTATCACAGCACTGAAACACACCATTCCCATTTTCATTGAAAACATGAAGACTGAGAAAAGGCGCTTGACTTTGTGTGTATGAGGTCATCTAGAGCTAGGCAAGATTGTCTGATAAGAGTGGATCCAAGCTTGTATTTCCCCAACTGAAGCTGGAGAAGCAGTTTTGAATAACATTATGAGTGAGACCTGACTCAGACACAGTTCCAGAGCACAGTTCCATGGCACAGCTCCAAGAGACATCTGAAGGAATGGGTGTCTTCCAAGTCCATTCTTAAAAATTGAATTTGAGTCAGGCTGTTTTAGTCATATATTAACTGTAATGTGGCATGGTAATGCTGCAAAGGAGGACAGTTTGTCTGGATCCCAAGCAGGGGGATGCAGTTAAGGTCAGATTAGGAAGTGTCATTTAGACTTTCTGGCTATTATTTTGAATGAAATGGGAAGATACGGAAGTCTTTGAGCAAAGCAAAGAAAGAATCTGACCTGCTTTAATAGGATGGCTGTAAGTATATTAATTACATATATAAACTGTATAGTAAAAACTAATACAGATAAGAAATTAGCCCTGCCATTTTGTCAAATAGTAAACCCATAATAATACGGTCGTCCTTCCCAAGCCTTATCTTCACAGGATGCATTCCAAACCCTCCAGTGACTGTTAAAGCATATAGTAGGTGTTTTCCTATATATGTATCTATAATAAGGTTTAATATGATAATATTAAGCATAATATAAGGGTAATAATAATGAAATAGAATAACAATATACTGTAATATATGCTACATGAATGCTTTCTCTTTCCCTCAAAGTTTCCTTTTCACTCTACCCAGCCTTCTTCTTGTGATGATGTCATGCCAAGTGACAAATGGGCAGGTAGTGAACACAGTGTGGCTACAGTGGACGATGCCTGTCCTAGGGGAAAAGTAGCTTAACATCATTATACTCCTCACAACAGAGCACAATTTACAACCTCTGAATTATTCAGTTATTTATTTTAACATTTTCAAACAGTGACTGACTACAAGTAACTTGTAAGAAAGGAAAATCATCAAGAAGGGGAGACGACTGTCACAATAGAAACAGAGGTCAAGGTTAAAACGAATGTTAGAGTTAAAATGGCGAGGTCCTGGAACACAGGATGAGAAATAAAAGTTTGCTTCTGGGTATGATCAGATTAGAAGAACAGGGTTTTCAGGAAAACACAGTGCCCAAGGTCAGCTGGATGCTCCCACAAAACCCTCTTTCCCTGGAAAAAGAATGCAAAAAACAAAGTGTCAATGGCCCCTGCACATATTCTTGCTTCTAATGCAGCTAATCGTAGCAGACTACATTTTAGTTAGGGACAGCTTTTTCCTGTGCCAGGGAGACCACCATAGACTGCCCTCCAGATAGTATATGTCAGTGTAGGGCCTGCGCTATGAGGAACCATGGGAAACCACGGCTACATCAGTGCCACGGTGGTGGGAGCCAGCTTCCCACCATAGTACAGCCACAAGCTGGTCACGTAAGCATGAGAACAAAGAGAGCACGGTCTGATTAACAGCTAGCAGACCCCACCAGGGTCTCAGACCAGCAACACCTGCAAGGCGGGCAGCAGCATCTCCAGCCAGGGCAAACCGCCAACAGTGAAGGCCAAAAGTTAGCAAGCACGGCAGAGATGAAGGGGACTTCAAAGCTGTCCAGGCCCCTAACTGAGCAAGCAGCATATGAACAGCATGTGATACCTCCCTTGTTGAGCCAGGGGACTCGCACAGTGTAGGCCCTCCACTGGATCAACTTGTGGTATGTTCAGAGAATCAACCAATCTCAATAGAAATGGCATCAGTCTTTGTCCAGTTTCTGCTTTAAGTCTGTAACATGCCCTTACAAAGCAGCTCTGTGGGTTTTCCCCTCCCTTACGGCCCCTTCCCGTGGGAGTTCATCTAACTGTGGGTACAACCCTCCCTTGGATCCCCTCAGCTGCACTGCTTACTCCCTGGAATCTTTAAATCCTTCATCTTTAAGCTTTCTCTCTATCATAAAACTCCTTTTTAAAAGTCAGCTTGGTTTTTGTCCATGAATTTCATCCGTCCATTGATTTGGTGGAAGTTTTGTGTGACCTTGAGTCTCCAGGGTCCTAATTCCTGAATTATGCACACTGGAGCCAAGAAAGTCTTTGCTCTTCAAGATAGTTCTCCGCGCCCCCCCCCCC